TTAGATTTCGCCGAGCAGCCATAAATTATTTGCTCTTTGCAGTTGATTTTATTATGAATTATGTTAGCCGGCGCACAATTTATCACCGGTGGCGGTGCTGCGCCTCTGCGCTGCATTGCCTACCCTCGCAGGGGCGGCTCGCTGGGTGACGAGTGCTGTAATACACTCAGACAGAATAATGTAGTGCTGGTTGCGAAACGCAGCGTGAAACAAGCGGGGGCAGTGAGCAATCACTCATTTCAGCTGGATTGCCACTCTTCAAACAGTTTCAAATAAAATTTTAAAGCAGTATTAAAGATCGCTAGATGATTTATAATATTAATTAAATTATTAATCATACGGTGTTATTTTTAATCAATAATTCCATTTTTATAATATTTTCTCTGTAATGTAAATATAATGACAGGAAGATAGAATAACATAATTTCGTAGCCAATTTTGGCATAATATTTTCAGAATTAAATGGACTTCAGCAAAAGAACTCAACAACCTTGTAAAATATTTAATCAATTAATTACACACTAATTTACTTTCAGCTTTCAGTTGGGTCACCGGTTACCATAATTCACACCTTGCCAATTTAAATTACAAGTTTAAATTGAACATAGTCTCAATAATATTTCCTCAAATTGTAAAAATAGACCGCTGGATATAATCTCAATATTAAAATTTAATTAATTATTCAATTATTGATCAATTATTTCTTTCTGATAATTTATGATTTTGTTTTATAATCCATATTTAAAAAAAAAATCAAGACAATTTAAAATTAAAAGTGTAAAAGACTAGAGTAAAACTTATAGTGAAGAAGTTAAAAAAAAAAATGCTTTTTACTAACAGATCTTTAAAATTAAAATGTTTAATACATCATATCATAGTGAATTATTGAGTTTAAATGATAAATTATTTTAAAACTATGTATAAAAATTAAGTTTCAAATTTCAAGAATTAATTTTCAATTTAAAAATCATGTAAAGTTCTATTTATGCAACTTTACGCTGCCCCAGGCAAAATGTAAGAGGTTGGTTTTGAAATGCACCAGATTGAATGCGACACTCCATGACGATCCGCATGCAAATTGTGTTAAGCCCGATGCGGCCAAAGTATGTGCCCGACTCATAATTGCGTATGTGTAAGCTCCGGCAGACAAGGGCACTTGCAAACTATCGGTGATCGCACTCCACCATCGTGTATAGTTGGTGGAATGAATTTACACTCCAAGTAATCAACCAGGACAACACATCCAATCAAATAGAAACTGATTTTGAATATTCGCATACGCCGGCGTCAGAAAGTTTCACACTAAAAAATGTTTTGCAGACGTACAATAACAACAAAAGTGAGAGAGCGAGCTTCAACTTCTTGCGCCGCTTTATTAATATTTAACTTGGATTCCATTCGGCGAATTTACATACAAACTCCAGAGTGCGCCTCGGGCTATTTAATAAAAAAGCTGGTGCCGCCGACGCCGCGTGCTACAAGCAAGAAATGATAAGACAGACACAACTACTTAAACAACTCTATGAATATTATTTTTGAGCGCGGCATCTCTCTGCAAGAGTGAGAGAGAGAGGAAAACATCAAGAGAACTGGTGGAGGAAGAGACAGAGAGAGGCAGCCTGCGAAACACATTTTTTTCCTGCGACAAAACTGTTTACCAAACGTCTTCAGTGTCGTTTTTATGCAAATATTTCATATCAGACTTTGCATTTCGCGATAAACTGGGTGCGATATGAGATTTTGAAATGTTTACCAGGCAAAACAAGCGAGCGGAATTGCCCTTGCGAAATTTCGTCCCACTTCCTCTGATGGAATTGCAAAGAGCAAAAGCTTTTTTGGCGGGATTTTGAATTTTCATCAGCAGAGAGGCCATTTGAAAGCGTGATAAATGCTGATGAAAGCGGAATATAAATTACGATGGGCACTTTAGTTGAACGACAGCACTTCAACATAAAATTTTTGTTTAAAATTTTCAGCAAAATACAACTAATTCTGATAATAATACAACAAATCTGTTTCTATTATTATGGTATTTTCTATACACAACTTAGTATTTCAATTAATTAATTTTTATTATATTAAATTTTAGTACTTTCCTATCAATTTTTTATGCTTGCTACAGTTTTAAATTTAGTAATCCAAATTTAATCAATAAAACATTTATTTTTCTGAATTTAATTTAGTAGTTATATAGTTAAATTTAAATTTTTTAATAGTTTTATAATGATATATTAAAAAAAAATAGCGGAGGATAGTATCAGGGCAGTATAGAAAATAAAATCTTTAGTTTAACATTTAGTGTCGGGAACTTTTTTATTATATTATTCCTTCTTATTTTAGATTTTCAGAAATAACTCAATTTCTTTGAAATATAGCAAGAAATGCATTAATCTATCGCAAGTGTTGGAAGTGTTGAAAGACGAAGGAGCAAAATAGATGGAGCACTTTGGTGCCAGAATTTGAGTCAGCAGACTTTTATGGCGTGGGGGAGATTGGCGAAATTATATGCGCTTGGTGCCGAAACTCTTTTCGCATCAATTGTGATTAGATATTACGGCGGTGAAAAAAGTTGTAAATTGCACGCGCGCGCATAGATAAAGAGGGCAAAAATGCGAGAGTGCAAGAAAGAGAACGAGCCAGTGGAGAGGACATTAAGGGGTTTTGAATATATATGGTGCCGGCTTAAGAGAGTAATGGAGAGAACGTAACACATAGAAGTCAATAAAAACGGGCGGACCTGAAATTTATGGCAATGTGTGATATAGAAAAGGAGAGAAAGAGAGGCGAGCGAGCGAGGTCCTCGAAAGAAACTGGTAGCAAGCAGCCCTAACCCTTCTCTTCGGAGCGGAATCGGGGTCGCCGTCCGCCCGCCCGGCACTGAGGAAACAGCCATTTTTAGGGTGTGTTTTTCCAGCGTGCATTAGATTTATTGCGAGTTCAAGAGGAGCATCGCGTTTGTTTCTTTAGTGAAAGGAAATCAGCGGAGGAAACTGTTGAGCTGCAGATTTCTTTAAACAGGCCACATGGGGAACAGTAGCAGTTTCTTGCACGTGCTGCGTCGAGGGGATCCATTTGTATCGAATCCTGATCTTTCAAATACGCACGGATTTATTTTATGTGTCGCGGCAAATACAGTTCTAAAAAGAAAAGTGTTAAATTTTATGGGTCTACGTTCCGAAGTAGGCAACTGGCTTTATATATGTGTCCACCAGGTTGCATACATTACAAAGAAAAGTCGATTTTGTCCATAGGGCCGAGATTCGCGACCTAAATCTATCTATTTTATTATTAACATAAATAATAAACAATTTTTGCATATTTCCGGCTGACTGAAATGGAATTTTTTTATAAATTAACAACTACAAATAATACAAATACTGCGCATAACCAGATTATTTTCAACTTTGAAAGCTATATAAAATTTATGCATTCAAGTAATTCAGAAAAATTAAATTTTAATATTAGTTCAGCTTCATCTAAATAGCTTAAAATTAATTAAAAATGATTAAATTAATGATTGGAATAGACAATTCTAATATAACACTGTCTGGATTTATTCACGTTGTTGAGGTTTTTGATCTCGTTGAAGCTTTCAAAGACAATTTGTATCACTATACCTCATCAATCTGATTCAAGAGTCTCAAGTTGGCAACAAATTGCCCGCCTCGGTGCTTTTTGCTCCTTATTCCTCCTCAGCGAACTGTCGTATACATTTTATTCACATTCGCAGAGAGCAGGGTTGTTTTATTGCACAGCCAGAGAGAGAAAAGGCGAGCACATAAATAAGAAAATGCATTAAACGCAAGCAGAAAGAAATGTAGCGCATGTAATGTATGTGAGTATTGTGCGCCGCTCACAAATGCAATTCTTCTCTCAGCTCCGCGGCGTGTGTGTTTTTGTGTTTGTTGCCGCGGAACGAACGAAGCTTGACGCAAGAGAGTGCAGTTTTGCGTTTCTTTTTTTTCTAAAAAAGAGCGGAAAACTTGCGAGAGGGCGTGTGAAAGAAAGGCCTGCTTATCTAATTCCGTCGCAGCAGCCAACAGCCAAATCTCAAGGGTGAAAGTTTTAATTAATTTTTGACTGAGAAAATAAGCCGCTCGCTCCGTCGGGTCCACTCTCCGCTTGGCTTGCTGTTATTTATTTTTCCCCGGCGCCATTCACTCATTCATTGACATTCCAGCCACTCATCAACAGCCCAATTAAAACGGGGTCTTTCTTTGCTGCGAAGAACTCACCGCACACTCCCCGAGCTCGTCGAGTTTTAAGGCCGACCAACACTCTCTCATTTGATTATTCACCGTCCTCTGCTGCAACGCCTCATTCAAAATTCATGGCGTGGTGAGAGAGAGGCGAAGGGGTTAGTTGGAATTAACTTCGTTTCCACTGAGGGGGAAGAAAGAATTCCGCAGAAAAAGACACCAATTAAAATGTGGTCAAAAGAGGACAGTTTCTTTCAAATATTACGCCATAAAACTAATTGCATTTGCACTTAACAACTAGCAAGAATGTCCTTTCCTTTCCATCATTCAATGTATTTTAACATCAATTATACATTTGCAAACAGACCTAATAAATTCAATATTTCTTGGCATGGGCTCTGCGAAATTGAATAATTTCATTATTATGTTGTTGTTTTACATTTGTTGCAAAACTTTTTACGTATTTGAAAAACGATAAATTTTAAATTTTTGAAAGGTAAATATTGATTTATTATTAAATTTTGAATAGTTAAATTTTGCTTCATATCGAGTGCTAGCAAGCCTGAGGTATTACAATGAAAATAATTTACAGTTTAATAAAACAATATTTGAAAATAATCATGCCAAATATCACAAACTTGGTATCGACCAAAATGAATAAATAATAAACAATAAACTTTGCTTGTATAGTGTATCAAATTTTCCAAACATCGTTGTTATTAAACAATTTTGCAACAGTCTGCGTTTTTTGCAATTAATCACAATTGAGGAGTAGGATTTTTTTGAAAACAGGCAGTGAAAAGGAGAGACGAGGGCCATCATCAATCCAGCCCAACCGATTGTGAGCAACGTGCTCTAATTAAAAAGTTAAAACAATACGAGCCAGGCACTCACTCTCCCGAGCAATTTTTCATCCGCGACTCTGGAACCGGCAGGAATTCATAATTATACTCCGCGGCTTGCTATTGTTGAGTCTGAGTAATTACTCAACCCCTCATCGCAGGTTTGCATTCTACTATATTTTATTATTCGCAGGAAAAGGAGTCATTGAAACTGCTCGCTCGCTCTCTCTCAGCAGCAGCAGCAGCAGCAGCAGCAGGAATTTCGTTACACGGCGCCGCCGACTCTTGAGTCAACAATGAGCCTATTTGCATGTTTGCCCGACCGCGTCGTACGAATTGCAGGTACGTACGCACCAAGTGGACAAGAGCGCCAGCCAAATGAGACCCTTGTTTCATAATTATTTCGACGAAACTGGCCGGGCGCTCATTCACCCACCAGTGTGCATTTCACGATTGTACAGAAGGTGTGGTGTTTATTTTTCTCTCCGAGAGGTCCGTTTTGAATTAATTTTGAAGGCTCCCCTCTGAAAAATGATATTAATTTGGAACCTAATTTACACTCTTGCCACACTTGAAATTTGGCGTATATGGAAGTATAATTGTTAGAAGCTGAGAGGTTTTTCCAAGGGTACTTTTAAGGCCAGGACAAGATACAGTTGGTTGGCCTATGATTTTTTTTTTAATTCTTCATGGATTTTAAAAAAAAAACATAAATCGATGATATCTGCATTTCTTTTTAAATTTCATTTATTATTTTTAGATTTTCCTCTAGCTGCAAATTTGTCTGAGGAAAAATGCAGACTAATGAGGTATTTTTTGTTTCTAAACTAATACATTTTAGATCAAATAGTTCTCTTTATTATCCCTTGGATTTTGATTCAAATTGCTAGCGTGAATATCATTCATTATTGATTTAATAATCAGAAATTTAAGAAATGATATATTTTTAAGTTACCTTAGTATTTATATCAATATTTTAACAACAAAATCAGTTTTTAGTATAATTTTCCACAGCCGCAGAGATCAGAAAAATTTCATGTTAAATTATTATAGTTTCGTCAATCATTTGTTTATGATATTACCTGGTAACTGAACTTATTTCAAATATAATTTTCCATTTGCTTTTTAATTAATTGGTACAAAATGAAGGATTTTCCACCAAAAATTCTAATTTATCTTGTTAAAAGATTTTTATTTAAAAAGTTAAAGCGTCATTTAACATGATGTTTGGAATGGAAGAAACTATCTTATTTAGAGACGAAAATGCAATCACATCTCCCTTTATTCCACAGCTTTACTATTTGCAATTTTGGTCACGCGACTCAACCGCAAATTGAGCGCGCGGCCATCAACGCGAGCTCAATTTATGTCAACCCCTCAAAAAGTGGCGCTGCGGAATATTTTCGATGGCTCATTCATGATGTATCAGGCAGAAAGTGCGGTGAACACGGTAATAACTCACCGAGCACATTCGCTATGTATGTCCCTCCAATATAAATTTTTAATTCTTTACAGCGCACCAGAGATTTCATCGTGTGTGCCGGCCGCGACCGCGCTGCCGCCGCCGCGGCTGATGATGATGTTGATCCATTAACATGCCGCTGGTGCTGCCGAGCAATTTGCATATTATTCTAGCCCGGTCACAGCCCCGCGCGTGAATTAGCGCGGATTTGTCCCGGAACCTGTCGCAGCGCAATTTGCATCCAACACGCGCACCCTGTCAAATGTTTGCGTTTGAAATTATGCTCTGCCACTTTTCTGCAAATAAATAAAATTAAAAATCACAATTCGGTGTCCAAGAAATAAAAATGATATTCGACGCCCAAAGAATACCAAGATTTGTGTATTTTCATTCCGTTTTAAGAATTTTCAAATTCCGGTTATGAGTTATGACTAATATTTTATTATAAAATTTGTGAATTTTTTTGAATTTACATCAATCAAATTCGAGACGTATTTTCCATTGACTTGAAACGAAAATTATAAAAATTCAACAAAATAGTTTATATAAGGAACAATTGAAAATTTAAAATTTTTCATGAACAACTTAGACAGTATTTAAGAGCAAGAGGTTTTTTTTCATATTATATTTAATGATATTTATACCGGCCCAAATACGTCGATCATAAATTCAATCATTTTCATTGTATATTTTTATTATGATAAAAAAATAAAATAATCTTTAGATAAGCAGCAGAGCAGACTTTTTCATCTTTTTTGTCGGTAAAAATAATAGATTGTGATCACGTGTCTGCTTGCATTCGTCGCTCACTTCTCTCTTCGGAAGTGCAATTTCCGTAGAAAGACTGCAAGCAAGAGAAATGCAATTGCTTACTTTCGAGAGCTCAGCAGTTCGCTGGATTAAATTTGCTCTGCAGCGCGACCGATTTCCCAAGGCTCCGCGTGTTCGACTTGCACTCACTCTCAAATTCTTATTCGTCACACACCCGCCGAAAACCATCCGAGCATACCAGATGAGCGGCGTCGGTCTTAACAATGCGCCGCGCAACTCGAAAAGTTGCAATTTAATCATTTCGTCAGCGGCGGCCGGAGCTGGATAAATATTTATTCTAAACTGCTGCGGCGAAAGCAAATTTTTATACACCGCGCGAGAGCTTTGTTTGGACTGTGGAAAAGAGAACAATTTGGCTTTGGAAAGAACGCGGCCGCATTTGCATTGCAAGGGAAATATTTGTGTTTACTCACGTCCAAATGAAGCGTGCTTTTTGTTTTGTTGGTCTTCCGACAAACTTTGGAATCTTCTCGGCAAATGCGCTTCAAATATGCACGTGGGTTGGATATTGGGATTATTATTTGATCTCAGGAGAAATCTGCAGAGTAAATCCAAACTTTGGCTGCATAAGTTTTGAACAATTCGGATGTACGAGCCCAGAAATTATAATTTAATCTGGCACGGGACCAACATAGTTTTGTATTATTTATAAACCGAGAAAGGGCAAAAATCCAGTGACAATAATCTATGACCTATAGAAATAATGTTTGAACAGGTTTCAACCGACGAGGCAAACTTTCTTTTTGCAAACATAGGAAATTGCAATAAATCATAGAAGATGCTTCTTGAATTATTCAACGGCGTATGCAATCCACGTCCGGGCCGGCTTTAATCAAAGCAGACGCTTGTATAACTATACTTGGCTGGAATTATCCACTGTACTTACTTTTGATATTAGAAAGAGGCCGAGTGTCTACTCTGCAGGGATTTGTATCTATTTGCATATAGCAGAGGCGAGCAATGACTGCCGCCTATGATATTACAAATTCATGCTAGAGTTTGAGAGCTTGGGAGTTTGTTCAAAAGGTTCGTTTGGCTCATAGTTGCCAACTTCATTTGCATCATCCCGCACAACTTTTTTATTCGGAATGTCTTTAATGACTCTTACAGAAATATCGTTCAATCATGATACACATTTATGGTAATACCTATTAATAATGGGCACAGCATTTAATTTTCATTCCAATTATTTTACTGCAATAAAAAAATGTTATTTTTATGGGACCACGTTTATTTGACTTGCTATCCAACTTTAAGTCACTGAGTTGATATTAATTGATTCAAAATTTTTAAAGAAAAAAATTTATCTAAGAATTTAATAAAAAAATATTACACTTAATAATTAAAATTCAGAAGGAACTCTAATTGAACTAAAGTAACCTGAGTTTGTGCAAATAAGATTTCCGTATTTAGAGTCGTAATTTCAATTTTTCAAAAATTTATGCTTTGTTAAAGGACTGACTAAACTTTCTAATGTTAATTTTGACCTTCTCGTTTAATATTCAAAATCTTTATATCAAGCTTTCCAACGCCTCAATTTTGTATAAATTTCATTAACTGGAGCTCATTCTGAATTCTAGAGTGTTGGCCAAATATTGGAAAAGCTCCGAAATCACGATCGCTCGACAATAATTACTGCGATAATTTATTTGCGCGGCTGCCACTCAGTGTCAAGATGCTCCAAATAACAGCATCTTCGAAGACGGAAGGCGTTCAGACTAATGGATTCCTCCTCCGCTTGCAGGGGAGCATCTCTCAAGATAGTATATTTAATGGCTTTCCGATCTTTAAAAAAAGAAATCACTCGCCTAAATGTTCTGGTGCTGCAGTCGTGAATAATAAATGGAAACCCCGAATTGAAAACCGCGTCTAATGCAAGAGTTTCTCTTCGGGAGTTTTCCACAGCCGCGCCCGCTCTACAACGAGAAGGGTAGATTCCCTAACTGTGCAGAGGAAACGATGCCGAGACACTTTGTGTCAATATCGCGCTTGACTCAACATATGCACGAGCAGAAGAAGAAAGTAATCAATCAGATTCAATAAAGTTTCTTTTTTGCAGGAGAATATAAATCAAACTCTTGAGTAGATTGTACCATTTTTTACGTTCTGTGCGTAGGAAGAGAAATGAAGCTAAAAAAAAAATAAAAAGCCGTGACCAATCTTGTAATATAATTACTTAATTTTTATGATTGTATTATATTTTACAAGTTAAAATTCAAAGACATGTAAGGCGGAAGGTTCCAGTATAAAGATAAATAAAAATTAATCTTTCAGTTCTGTGGTGATTTTGGATGTGCGAGTTTAGTTTTGCATGTAAAATTGCCTGAATGAATTTGATAAGTTAATTCAGGTTAATTTCCAATATCTATCATTTTCATGCAACATAAAAACTTTTAAAATTTAAATTCAAATTTCTATAGCAGGGGATTCTATGAAACGTTTCTGCGTTTTTCCTATCAATTCGTGAATCGTTTTTCCGGCTCTGTTATTTTTCCATTTCCCGGCGAGTGCAATAAAAAACGGCTGCTCTCTCTCATTGCTCTTCGGCCTGCCGGAAAACGCGCTCGCGGTTCGTATTTATGCTAGGCATATAGATATTCGCGTGCAGTACGTGGAAATTGCCAGTCGTGTGCCGTGGGTGTCTCCTCTGTGCTGCTGTGCTATGGTAACGGTGCCGCGTCTCTTCATAAAAATACACACACTGCTGCAGAGAATACTTCTCGTGCATGTGTATGTAAATTCAATTTTCCCAGCTCCCACCAGAGAATAGGACCGGAGAGAAAGGAAATATATTTATACATTTTTTCTGCGTGCATTTTCACATATTTTGCTTGGGGCAAATGGAACAGTGCACTCTGTTTTACAAGGCACATGTAGTACGGCACGGTCGTAGAGAACCCTTGTGTGTGAATACAAACGTTGGAGATTTTTTTTGTTCCATTATCCTGAAGTGCAATCTCTATGTATTTAGAACTTTGCGAAACGGGATTTGTTACACTTAGTGACTTCAGGTTTGTTTCAAAACAGTCAGCGACAGAGGAAATTTTAACTGAAAGATTTCAATTTCAAAAAAGTTCCTATATTTGGGAAAAAAATCAATAATCACTTCATTTTTAATTTTAGTTTAAAAGTAATTTTAAATATATTTTCTACACTTTATTTGTAAAATATACCAGTTATATTCAAATATGCATTATTTGATGACTCTGTACACCTATTAAATTTAAAAAAAGTTTTGCAATTTTTAATTCAGAAGGGAGTTTGAGAGTCTCTGAAATAAAAACAATGAAATTTAAATAAACTTTCATTTACTTTACTTATATTTAGCTAATTAAAATTTTAACTGTTATAAAATCCTGAGTTAGATTCCTTTAAATATGAAAATTTTATTAAAAAAAAAAATCTCCTACAATGAAAACAAATAATATATTGTATATAAAAAATAATCATGTTTGAGCTTCAAGCAATGTCAAAGGAGGATTTTCCAGTTTTCCCACTCGCGCTTTGTTATCGTATTGGATTTTCCAGGTATACAACTTTCCTAGAAAAAAGTAAAAAAAAAGCTGCGATCATTTGAGGAAAGAAAATTGCGTCTGGTGAACGGACGGTTGTGTGCAAAAGAAAAACTGAAGTGCTACGAGCAATAATCAAAGAGTCGCGTCTCCATTCGGAAGCAGCATCAACAGAGTTATAAAAATTCAATCTTGTCTCGGGAGTTGTTTTTTTTACGGCCACGGCGATGAAAATCCCGCGCGTCTGATTGAGGATGCCAATAAAAGGCGCGGCTTCAATCTGCCGCCGCTTTGTCGACCGAATGCAAAAACGCTTGCCGGCAGCTGCTGTTACATCATTTCCTGGCTGTAATAAAGTGCATGCCACCACCTCTCTCATGATTAACCTTTGCATTGCCAACTTTTCTCATCTAGCCGTGCACCGATATTTACGACACCTAGAATGGAGGCCGAGATGAGAAAAGGCGCCACCGCAAAACACACGCGCACGGTCCTTCTTTCTTTTCTTATCGCGAGCGCCCTTCCTCATATCTACGCCCTGTTTTACGACTGCTACTTACGCGAGCGCCTTTCATCTCTGCTCGCTTCTTCGTCTTTTCACTTTAATGATCGTTTTGTGTCGTAAATTTTACGATCAATTATTGAAATTAGTCGAGCGCAAGTTCATTGACATGCTCCTCATTTTAATAATTGGACATGAAAGGCGGCTCAGCTGTCGGCGGTTTTGCTTAATCTGATTGGAAAATTTACAGCTTGTTGATGGAATACTGATTATAAACCACATATCAAAGCAATCAATAACTTACAATTAGTTCTTGACAATGAAAAGTGCTGAAGTTTCAATTTATAAATAATGTTTCACGACATGAATTTGTCAGGGGTACAGAATTATGAAAATATCAATGCATGAAAAGGAAGTCATAAATTTTTCAGGTTTTGTTGCATTTAACTGTGTAAAATTCCAGGTTTTTGGTGGGTGAGCAAATTTACTCTTTGGAAAGAAACAAGTGCAAA